CCAGAGGAACCAAGCTGATCGCGTCGTCCTGTCTGCGACGTTAAAGAATTCTTGCGAAGTTGGGGGATCTTCTAAAATACCTCCTGATCAGCTTTTGGTTCTGTAGTGACAGCTGGTGAGGAGTGGGACCCCTGTCGTGCACCAACACCACGATGGATGACTATCCGATGTATGGGGTACTCGTTGGGTTCTCCCTCTGGGGGACCCTCTGGTATCTCCTCTTTCCTCTGGGCTTTTGGYCCACTTTCACGTGTAGAGTAGGGCCCACTCGCGGTGGGACGTCCACCACCCCCTACACGAAGGAGGAGGAGGAGAAGATGGCCGCCCTTCTACAGGAGAAAAAGGAGAAGAAGGAGGCCAAGAAGAAGGCCTTGAAGGAGGAGCAGGCGGCCAAACTGAAGAAGATAGAGGACGAGATGGCCAAAGAAAAAGAGAGGTTGAAAAAGGAAGAAGAAGCGAAGCTGGAGGAGGTGGATGAAGAAGAGGAAGGACCGCCACTGCAAAGGAGTAGTGGGCAACCCAGTAGTAATACCGGTGGAGACCTGGAGAAGAGGATATCAGAATGGGTTGCCAACCTGACTGTGGGAGAAGAGGAAGAGGTTAGTATGTACATCCCGCAGGATCAGCAAGAAGTTGCCATGAAGGCTTGGGAGGCAGAGAAAAACCCTCTTAAACGTCAAGCGTTGGAAGACGAGAAGAGGATGGAATGGAAATTAGCGGTGATGAGGGAGAAGAAGAGGAGAATTGACAGGGCAGCGGAGGCGGCAGAGGCCTTAGAGGAAGTGAAGAACATAGAGGCGCAATTAGCCGCCCAACCCGATCTCCCGAATCAGATGTGAGTCATAGCTCGAAGCGTCGCATGCCTGGCACGGGTTCAGGCAGACCAATATGACTTTAGCAAAAGTCAGGACATAGCTGTGCGCTCGATACGATTGGGCTTTCGAGACTTTGCTCGTGAGATGGTAGGCGCCGTTGGAGTCGAGGTGGGTCACCGCCTCGACAAGACTGAGCGGTTCTGCGCCGGCGCCATTGAAGGCGTCAAGGCGGCAGCTCCCAAGGAGGAGGAAGCATGTCCTCCTCGCCGGGAGCCTGTCAAAGTCAAGTTCCCCGATTCCTACAACGGGAGGAGGGAAGAAAACTTTGATAATTGGGAGGCCAACGTTAAGACCTATGTGCACTTGCAACAGGTCTCCCTAGATCAGCAAGTCCTAATTGCTATCCACGCGCTGAGAGAAGAGGCCGCCAGTTTTGCAAGGTCCCTAGTTCGCGCTGCCAACTGTAGTGATGATCCCGTTGCGTACTCCTCATTTACATCTCTCACCGAATTTCTGAAGTTGCTGSGCGAGCGATTTGCTGATGTCGCTCGCAGTGTCAGGGCCTCAGACAAGCTCCAAACCATCCATTCCCGTAAATGGAAGAGTGCCAGGGCACTCAAGGGTACAATGGATGAGTTGGTAGCCGTCCCTGACCATGGGGTCACAGAGGGCCAGTTGGTCAACCTCTTTTACCGGGCTATGCCCGAAGCCTTTCGAGGGCAGTTCTTCGCGAAGAGCGAAGACCCTGCCACCACTTAC